ATTTTAGATGAACACTCTTTGGATGAGTGGTACAGCAAAGGTCTATTTGCTCTACTGAAATAACAGGGTTGCTGCGATGATGGTCAACTGGGCCACAGGTTTGTCAAACACCATAATTGGCTACCCATCATGGGAAGTGTTTGTTGGTGACCCCAGATTGATCCATGTTTGGAAGCAGGAGTGGTATCCACTTCCTAAACCAAATGCCTCTGAAAAGCCTATAAACTTGGAGAAATGATGATAGTTATAGACAGGCTTCAGGCCTTTTATTTATCTTTTGTTTATATATGTATTTTTACCATGTGTATTCAATCTATATGCTGAACAAATCATTCAAGAAATTGATTCTATTAAGAAATATGTGGCATCAGAATACCAGAAGATTGGGAAAGCAGTGGAATGCTCCCAGATGGGCATTTCTGGGTGGTGAGAGCCAATGTGAATGCTTGATTATGGAGGAATGTGGAATGACAGAGCACATAAAGTTTGAATCATGTTTTGGTTCTTAAATTCAGTTGGCCTACTGGATAGAAAATGATGCTTGTGGTTGATTTTAATCTGCGTCCCCCAGGCCTGGTTTTAATGTTTTTGGTCAAAGATTCTTCTAGGTGGTATAGCACTGGTCTGTCCATTTGCTGTACAGAGGTAAGTCATGGTTGCTGTGATGCTGAAAACTGTGACCCTGATGTGTCAAATGCAATAATGGTCACCCATGGAGAACAGTGTTTGGTGGAGCTCCTCGATTAAAACAAGCTTGGAAGCAGGAGTGGCAACCACTTCTAAAATAGCTTGCCTCCAGAAACCCTATGAACTTGGAGAAATGAGGAAAGTTAGACAAGTGTTCAGATCTCTTGTTCATAGGGTCGCTATGAGTTGCCTATAACCTGACAACACTTAACAACAACAGGTATACACTGTCAAGTTGAAGTCAACTCATAGCTGATCCCTCTAGAGGGTTTTAAGAGGCAGTAAACTGAGTGAGAGCCGAATATAGATCTTACTCTCTCAAAAAGCAACTGGTGGGTTCGGACTGTGTTCCTTGGAATTGGCAGGGCAACTCCTTACCACTATGTCACCAAAGCTCTCTATTAACTGAATGAAGTAGTCAGCTATGTTTTCTTCAACCAGGTACTAACATTAGAACATCTAACCAATCCAAAAGTAAATTATTTTTATATCAAAGATTCTCATACAACTTTGATTTGATTGTAGCCTTTGTAAAGAAAAGCAGCCACACTAGGAAAAATACTCAAATTCATAATTTTCTTAAATCATGTTGTAATGTACCATCGAGTTGGAACCAACATGACGGTCTAGCATGTTTTCAAAGGCAGTAAACTGCACGGGAGGAAATTTTCCACTGTTCTTCCAAGAAGCAGCTGGTGGTTTCGAACTATAAATCTTTAGGTTGGCAGCATAATTCCTTACCACTAAGCTACCATTTGCCATTAATAGAAAAGTCTGTTTTCAAATTTAAGTTTAGTGTTTTGTATCTCATAAAAACGGAGAACATTATGCTGAGTGAATTGTCCCAGTCACAAAGGGACAAATATTGCATGGTGCCACTGTTGTAGAATGGGACTGTCCTTGGGGTTGGGGAGAGACTGAGTAAGATGGGTTCAATAATGTATGCTGCTCTGA